GGCCAGCCTACTCTTGTGCCGTGCCCACAGCAGTTATGCCATTTCCCAGTAGTTTGGCCAGGCACTTCCTTCTCCCCCTCCCCTCTTCCACACCTCCCTTTCTCACCCTCCTCCCTCCCTCCCGCCCTCCTCCACTCGTCTCTTAATCTCCTCTCTACTGCCGGCTGTGCAGACCTCCCTCCCAACTGGCTGCACTCTCAGTCGTCCCCCCCCCCTCTGCTAGCTCCGTTCCCGCTCGGCGCACACACAGTGTGCCACACTCACCGCTTAAAACTCGGACCGAAACGTTTTACTGTGAATTGTTGAATTTTCAGTCAAAATAGGGTTTCTTTATCCCTTTCGTAAAACTCTCACAGTATTTTCCTCGTTGCATACACTGTTGTTGTTGGTGGTGGTGGTGTTGTTGTTGCTGCTGCTGCTGCTGCTGCAGCTGTTGCTGGCTATGCGCCCGGAATATAGCTTTCCCGGTTGACGTCTCACTGCGGCTGGCTGGCGCTCGGTCCGCGGGGCGTGCGGGCGCAAACGGGGGGCGCCGCCCTCCCCGGCCCGGCCCCAGCAGCCCCGGGGTTTCCAAAGCTAACAATATGAGAACAGAAATCCCCCGAATTTATGCAACCCGGTAAACACGGCGCGCTGTGAATACTTTATGAGACGCCCCTCCTCCTGTCGCTAGCGAGTCGCTGAGCCCCGCGCGCAGGCTCCGTGCACGCGCGCGCCTCCCCCCGCCCGGCCCCGGCGCCAGCACGGCCCCAGCACGGCCCCAGGTGCTAAACCTCCATCAAATTCTTCTTATCAGAGATCGTGGGCGAGGCCGCGCGCCGAGGCGAGGCTGCGAGGCCTCGGGACCACGCAGCTCCGCTTTTACCGGCCCGCGTATACGTGGCTGGAGTTGGGGAGCAACGCCGCGCAACCTCGGCCCGGCGCCGTCTCATCTCATCGCGCACCGCCAGACCCGCACGGCCCGCCTACTTCCGCTCGGGGCCACAGGCCACATCGCCCGCGGCCCCACCGTCTGCTCACCGCCTGCACAAAAAAGAGATTAGGACATTTAACCCTTTTAGCAAAACAATAGCTAAATAGGGGATAATTAAGCTATATAGCTGAAAAGATTAGCTATGTAAAATAAATTTGCTATGTTTCCAAAAAACCGGCCGGCCGGCCGGTAACGAGACGGTCCAGCTCCAAAAGCAAATTCAAAATTACAGGCGCTAAGGCTTGTATATTTAAATTCAATAAGGTATCAAAATAATACTGACAATCTGCTTATCAAAACTGGAACGTTAATCGGCAAAATTTGCAACGGCAAACCTTTATCAAAACGAACGGGATACTTCCACCTTCGGGTACAGACAGGTCTAATAGATAAATATTGTTGATTCACCCAACAAAAGACAGAAAATTATGCTGGAACCAGCATTCAAATTTTGCCTACTTCGTAATTTTACTGCGCTGAAAACAAGTGCTTTTTCATGTTTGGACCGCCTCTAGAAAATGCCGGTAATGTAAACCAAGTTATGGTAGCGGTCAATTTGAACCGGCTATCTCATAGAAGCTCGAACGAAAGCTTTTTTCACGAGGAATCTGGAAATGACCACTTTCCGATCAAACCCGTCTGAAAGGAAATATTAGCTAAAGACCTAAACGTGATCATTGATGATTATGCCATGTACACCGATATATCAGCATACAATGTACACTTTTGAGTTTCCAGAGTACAAACAAGCACATTTCATATTTCAGAGCGCTGTGGTCGGCTGTGGTTCAAATTTAAAAGTTGAGTAGTCCCTAGTCTTTTTACCACCCATCTATTTACCTCGACCACTTTATTTCTCGCCTACCCCTGGATTCCCTGCTCTGTTTCGCCTGCCCCCCCCCCCCCTCTTGCGCGACGTGCCCCGGGGCTGCAAGCTTGCCTCGCCTTGTAGGTCGGGTCAGTGTTCCTGTGATCGGAAATTGGCCAGAGTGGAGGGTCGCAGGGCGCGCGGCGCAGCGTGGCCGCAGCGTGCAACGTGATACTCCCACCCCCCTTTCCCTCTGTGTGGGTGTGCTCGGGAAGAGAGGAGGAGGGGTGGAAAGAGATCGTGCGACCGACCCGCGGACCCTCACTTCACCTCGGCCGAGCTGGCCGAGAGGAAGTAAGGAGGAGGGGTGCAAAGCAGCGCGCGCAGTGGGTGAAGTACGTAACGACGCTCTTGGACTCTGAAACACAACTGCTGGCTGGCACGCCAGGCGCTCGGCTCGTGTAAGATTGCGGCCGCTACGTCCGTCAGGCCCGGCCGAGGGCCCGCGGCCCCGCTGTTAGCGCACTGCTGGTGCGGTCGTTGTAAAAGTTTCGCGCTGCTGCGATCTGCTCCTGCTCGGCGGCGGCTGCTCTGCCCCGGCCCAACTTCACGAGCGACCTGCTGCTGCTGCAGCTCCACTGCCTCTGCTGCCTCGCGGGTGGAGGCGGGAGCAGGGGAAGTCGTTGTCTTCCATCCGACTATCCTCTGCTTTTATCCCTTGATTTTATTTGCTTGTGGTTTCTTCTCTTGTGTTTTTCCTACCCTGCTTCCTTTTGGCGTGGGCTCACGCCCGACCGAGAGTAGCGCACTGGAGGTCGGGCAGGGCTGGGCGAGGCGGGGCGTGCAGGGTGCAGGTCCCGCAGCCTGGCGCAGTGCTCCTGCTCCGTATGTGCGGCGTGACCCCGTGGTCTCTGATTGGCCCGAGCGAGCGCTCCCCAGGCTCAGGCTGATGGACTGTTTGCTGTTGTTGCAGGTCAACATCAGCAACACGTGGGTGCTGCCCGAGGACGGCTTCCCCGTCTTCTACCGGTACTTCCGCGACCGGATCAACTGGTTCGAGGCCGACGCCGTGTGCCAGTTCCACCATGCCAACCTCGTCACGGGTGAGTCGTTGTGCGGCGAGCGGCGGCGAGCGCCTGTCAAGCGGCGGGTAGGCAACCCGGGCCTCTCGACGCACCGGAGGCGGGCGGGTCTGCCTACCGAGCAGGCGCTCCCCTGCCTCACCCAATTTGAATGACGAATTAGAATGGTACAATAAATGCGAACTAATACTAAATTTAGTACGATTCGATTGCACTAATTGTGCACTAAATCATGGCACTATCGGTTGAATTCGTGCGAGCTTCATGGAGGTGGCGGACGGGCGCGCAGTGCGTTCGACTACGCGCGTTTCAAACGCAAACTAATTTTTATTCAACACTGTTAAAATTGTGTTTCCACACAGATATACGATGTATTTACCATTTACAAAACTGTATCGTACACGTACAGCACACCCCTCTTACTCGTCATTCGATTCCTAGTCGATACGAAGTGCTTGTAGAGTTACAATCTTCAATTGTTTGTGCGACACCTTTCATGGAAAATTGACATCACAGCTACCTGTGATATAATTTCTCACCGTGAAAAGAATGTGTGCAAATTTGAAATGGAAATCTGATAGGAACAGTCCCAAGTTGCGCAAGTAGGAAGCAGGGGTTCGTTAGGAGGGAGAGTGAAACCGTGAAACACATTAATTTGACTCGATTTCTTTGCTTGCAGTGGACACGGGCGCGCAGTTCGACGCGGCGCGCGCCTTCCTCAAGGAGCTGGACGTGCTGTCGCCCGTGTGGCTGGGTCTGAAGCGCGGCCGCGACCAGCCGCACTTCCTGTGGACCAGCGAGCAGCCGCTGTCGAGCACGGGCTACTGGAGCGAGCCGCTGCCGGGCTCCAGCCTCGGCTCCAGCGAGGAGCTGTGCGCCGCGGCCGACCCCGCCGCCGACTTCCGGTGGCACGGCCTCAGCTGCGGCGGGCTCGAGGTTGCCTCCTTCATCTGCGAGCTGCCAGGTGAGTGTCGCCGTGACTTCCCGCCGTATCTACGTGAAGGACGCCGCCCACGCAGTGTTGCCCCATAAAGTAGGCAAAAATACCTACAATACACCTGTGCGTAGTGGGCTGCGTCTACGCCTGCCTACTGCTGTAACTGTTCGTACACCCGTGCCGCAGGGTTGCCTAGTAGGCAGGCGCGGGGTGCAGCCCGACCCTTAACCTCCTCTCTCTTCCCCGCAGTGCCGGACTGGGCCGCGGCCCGCGACGGCTGCATGGTGGAGAACCTGCCCTCGCTGACGGCCGCCTTCCTGCCCGAGGAGGCCGCCGTGGAGCTCACCTCGGACTGCGGGCTGGGCGGCACGCGGCGCGTCGTCTGCAAAGGCAACACGGTAAGGATATGGTATATATCCTTCAAGCAAGGAAAATTCATTTAAAAAAAATAGAAGGACATTTTTTATCCTCCTTGGTTATAAAGCATTTCCATTTATTTTCAAGAAAATTTCGTTAATCTAACCACAATTTTTACTTTTATTTCCACGATATTTGCCTCATGCTATAAGGGAAATTTCCTTGTAGTTTTTGAAAGTAAAAAATGTCCTTTATGCAAGGTTTTCCGTCTTGTTTCAAGGTAACCGTTTTCTAAATGCTCGAACAAATACATTACAAAATTAATGAATGAATGCTCGAACAAATACATTACAAAATTAATGAATGAATGGACTTAATGATGGCAGAGGAGAGAGTGCGGCTGTAGTAACTTTCACATTGCTTCGGGTCTCATGGGAAACCAAATGGCGTGCTACGAGGGCGTGATAAAACTTTTCATCGCCCCCGCAAATCCCGACCGCACGCGAGCCAAAAAAAAATTAAAAAAAAATAAAAAAACAACAAGAAAGCGGGACGGCGTCTAAGTAAGGAATGTCGCTGAAGACTGAGCACCTGTCAAGCGGGGCACGGTAGGGGTGGTGCCGCGCCCGGGACGGAGCGGATCTCCCGGGTAATAAAGAGGGCGCCAAAATACACACACTCCCTAGCACACACACACACACACACACACACACACACACACACACACACACACAGAGTCTACACTCACATTATCTCTTTCTCACTTAACCCCTTCCCTCTCTCCCTCTGACACCACCGGAACACATTTATTCTCCCGTTCTTGTCGTAGAGCTCTGCGCAGGAAATCGATGTACAGTTTGATGCTCCAGAACCTTACTAATAAATGGAAACAGCGGAGAGAAAAGAGTGTGTGGGGGAGGCGACGACGACGAGATTGAGGGCGAAAAGGAAAAGGGGAGAGCTGTGTTGTAGCCAATCTCGGACTCGAGGGTGCGGGCGAAAGGGAGAGGGTGGGGGAGG